TCACACCACACCACAATAGGCATGAAAAAATAGGAGAGCAGATTCAAGGGTGCTGCTATCTAATTAAAGAATATTAATCCAGCAATTAAATAGCAACAAAGCACCAAGATGAACTGCACGTAGTGATTGTAAAATGCAATTCCAAATAAAAAGAAATTTCAAGAAAGTAAGACAATTACTTCATAACACTGAGAGTTAGTCATTATAAAACAAACCTTCCTGTGTACAGAAACCACTCTCCATGATCTTCGTCATCCTCGTAACCTCCTGAAAGTGCCACTGATTGTGCTCCATAGTCCGATTGTCCAGCTATACCTGCAACATGTGGAAGGTGGGCACCCCATTGCCGACATTCTAATCTATCCTCCCAGCATTCTCCAACCAGCACACCCTGATTTCTCTCTGGATCATTTTCAGCCATTATAGGTCCAAAATGATCGGGTGGAACAGTAACAAAGATCTTCCCACTGGCAGCATTGGCCTTGCCAGACTTCTGTGCCCGTTCTGTGGTAAAAGCTTTGTCTGGTCGGTCCTGGTTGTGTACAAAATGGTAAACTTTCGAAGAACCAGCTGCTACATTTAATTTTGACAGTTTCGCCATTCTGATGGCAGTCACAAGTGCAGAATTAATCCTGGGCTGGCTTGCCATTTTAGGAGGAATTTGGTGGCGGCATTTTGCGCAAGTACGCTTCCCTTGCCCAATCCATTTCTGGAAACACTTCAGGCAGAAATTGTGGCCACATGGTGTCTGAACAGCATAATAAACCAGTTACAAACTTCTGATAAGAACAAAATTCTGACCTAATTGGCATGATATTTACAGCTTGATGCATAATAGATTAGATTTAGATTAGAAATTAAAACCTAATCTATTCGGCATCATATCTGACTTAGATCTGCATCCTTAATCAGTAAATAGCTGAGGGATAAAGATGAAATATAACATGCATGTCAATTGACTACACTTAATTTCCAATTTCATAACAAACTATATGCCTTTTTTAGTTCCAGTTATAACACAAATCTACAAAATCATCCAGATAACCAGATAACCTGCATTAGCTAACAAATGGCCACCATCAAAATGACAAAAGAATAAGAAACCGAAGAAGACAATGAACAGACATAGCTATCAGCAAGAAGCAAGCAATAATATTAGCCAAAAAAGATGGTAAGAGAAAAGCAAATTGGTCGGCTTAATTAACATAAGATGTGAAAATAATCTAAATTATGTTGGGTAAAACATGAAAATTAGATTAAATTAAATGAACTGCAAACTGATAGTCTACAAGTTATTGCTTCATATGGATATCGGAGAATTTTGTTATGTTAAATCAGTAAAGAAGGGAATCAACTCAAAACCAACTTGAAGAATAAAATGACTGAAATAAACACCTGGGTTTCGCGCATTGCAGATTTACATAACGCAATACGAAAGAATCGCCAAAAGCAACACTATAGCACAGCAGGAAACACCTTAATCGGAGACATGATCAGATACAAGGATTTGCGGAATCTTTGCAGGCATCGCAAAAAATTAAGCTTATGTAGCATCATAACTACGGAAGTAAACATGCG